ATATATATGCAGTAGAATATTCTTCTATACTGATAAAGAAGGAAATCCTACCATTTGCAACAACTTGAATAGACCTTGAGGGCATTATGCGAAGTAAAATAACCCAGACAGAGAAAAATAAAATACTTCATGGTATTACCTATACGTGGAATCTAAATTTTTTTTAAAAAGTCAAAGTCATGGAAAGAAAATAGATAAATGGTTGCCAAGCGGTGGGGGAAATAGGGAAAGGTCAGTAAAAGGATACAAACTTTTAGCTATAAGATGAATAAGTTCTGAGGATCTAATGTAAAACATGGTGACTATAGTCAATATAGTTGATAACACTATATTTGGAAACTATATTGTATAATTGAAATTTGCTAAAAAGATAAACATATGAGGTGATAAATGTGTTAACTAGATGGGGGGAACATTCTCACAATATACACATATAACAAATCACCACAATATGCACTTTAATTATATTTTAATTTTATATGTCAATTATACTTCAATAAAGCTGAAAAAAGCCCAGTGTGGTATTGGTGGTTAAAAGTTAGACAAATACATCAGAGGAACAGAATAGAGAGCCCAGAAATTATCTTCTATAAATATAGGTAAATGATCCTTGACAAAGGAGCAAAAACAATCACAATAGAGCAGAAATAATGTTTTCAAAATGATACTAGAACTAGACATCCATATGCAAAAAAGTGAATCTAGACACAGTCCTTGCATCCTTCAGAAATATTAACACAAAATGAATCACAGACCTAAATATATAATGTGAAACTATAAAACTCCTAGAAGATAATATAGGAGGAAACCTAGATGACCTTGGGTATGGTAATGACTTTTTAGATACAACAACAAAGGCACGACTTATGAAAGAAATAATTGGTAAGCTGGATTTCATAAAAATTAATAATATCTGTTCTATAAAAGACACTACCGAGAGAATTATAAAACAAGGCATAGATTAGAAGAAAATATTTGCAAAGACATATCTGATAAAAGACTGTTATTCAAAATATACAAAGAATGATTAAAACTCAGCAATAAGAAAACAAATAACTCGATTTAAACATGGGCCTAAAACCTTACAAAGAAAGTATATGAATAGCAAGTGAAAACATGCTCCACATCATGTCATCAGGGAAATGCAAGTTAAAAAAACAGTAAGATACCACTACGCACCTATGAGAATGGCCCAAATCCAGAACACTGCTAACAACAAATACTTGTGAAAACATGAAGCAACAAAAACTCATACATTGCTGGTAGGAATGCAAAATGGGGCAATCACTTTGGAAGACAGTTTGGCAGTTTCTTACAAAACAAAACAAACTCTTACCATATAATACAGCAATCATGCTACTTAGTATTTACCTAAAATACTTGAAAACCTACGTCCACATACATGGATGTGTATAGCAGCTCTGTTTATAATGCCAAAACTTGGAAGCAACCAAGATGTCCTTCAGTTGCTAAATGAATAAATTGTGGTACATCGGGGCAAAGGAATATTATTCAGTGTTAAAAATAAATGAGCTATCAAACCATAAAAAGATATGGAGGAATCTTAACTTCATATTACTAAGTGAAAAAAGCTGATCTGAAAAGGCTGGATGATTCTAACTATATAAAATTCTGGAAAAGACAAAACGATGAAAGTAAAAAGATCAGTGGTTGCAAGGGAATGCGGGATGGGAGGGAGGAATGAATAGATGAGGCATACAAGATTTTAGAGGCAGTTAAAATAGTCTGTGATATCATAATGATGGATTCGTGTCATTATATATTTGTCCAAATCTATAATGTACATCAAGAGTGAACAGTATGTAAACTATGTACTTTGGGTGACTATGATGTGTCAATGTAGGTAGAGTCATCAAATATACCATGTGGTAACAGATATACCATGTAGGTGGGGGATGTTGATAATGGGGGAGGCTATGTATGTGGGGGCCAGAAAGTATACGGAAAATCTTTGTACTTTATTAATCTCTGTACTTTTATCCTCTCAACTTTGCTATGATAGTAAAACTGTTCTAAAAAATAATATCTTAGCAAGAAATAATAAAATAAAATGAATTATAACAAAAAGTATAATTGATTTGGGCACATTTGTATAAACAGTAATTCATGAGTATAATATGATAGTCACAAAATAAAATCTTCCTCTAAAAATTTTATTGCTTTTAGAGACAAAGAATTAAGATATATCCTACTATTTCAGAAGAAACTGTACTTCAGAGTAATCAAATGATCCTAACTCAGAGGGCCTTTTCCAGTTCCTCTTCGTTGTAGAATGATAGCTAATAAATGTAAAGAAAATTATAGAATTGGAAAAATCACCATTTTGTCACTCTTAATGAAATAATTGATTCATGTCATAATCATCATGCATGCTAAAATCATTAGGTGCAAGGGCAATGGGGAAATGAATATTCACATTGGTGTAAAAGTATTATTTCATAGTTAATTTACTAGTCCCAAAGGAAAAATCACATAACTTTACAATGGAGTCTCTTGTTCAGGGTACAATACTTAACATCACTAACAGTGGAACAACCAGCTATCATATGGCCCCTGGTGTACGGCAAAATGAAGAACACAGTATCAACTACAAAATATTCTGGTTCCAAATGTTTAATTAGAATTGCAAGAAGTCCTGAGGGAAGCATATGTCAGCCTCAAAGTTTACAAGATTCCCTTTATTCTCCATTATTCTCCATTCTGGCCCCTCACTTGAAAGTGATTCAGCTTGATTTAATTTATACTATCAGTTACGTGTCCTGTTTGATGCCCAAAATTATATTGCTCTATTTTTTAATGGCAAATATTATGAAGTTGTTGTTGACTGCCTTCTAAATAACATGCTTTTACTTTCCCCCCATCACTTCCAATTCTTAGTCTTAATTTTTACATTATATATCTTTTCATAATTTTTTGGACATTTGCTTTGTTTTAAAACTATATGATTCCTTCAACTTTTGAGTTTTTAATTAATGTTTAACTGAACATTCTTTTCTCATTTTTTAAAATTACTTCCCTCGTTTTTTTACCTTCATATTATATATGATCTTTTTTAATCAGCTAGAGCAGATCTTTGGTTATGTGTGCTTGTATGTATTTCTACAGAAGGCACTATTTCTTCACATTCCAGGGTCAAGTGCCCCCATATTTGTCCACATCTATTGTCTGCATTACTGATTGTTACAAATTGTAGTCACTGATGTCTGGAAAAAGATAACAGTGGTTGGGGGACCACAGCTGTGGCCACTTCAGAAAAATTTCTTCAAAGAGTGCTATAGCTGTACGTGTTCTAGTTAGCAAAGATTCCAAGTTCTTAAGTAACAATTCATAGTAGGCAAGAATAGAAATCTATCTTTTTTCTGCTACTCCTTTAAAGCTCAGCCCTTCATATTGTCTGGCACAATATAGGAACTCAAAAAATGTGTAATGAATGAATAAGTATAACGTCAATTCTGCCTTGAACAAATCCATGTAAACCCATGACGTTACATTCCATTATCACTGCTCTAGCCAAGGCCATTATTTTTAGTCCCATCTTTTCTTCAATTCTTTCACACTACAGGTTTTTACTGTTTTCCTGAGATCTTGTCATGGCCCACACTTGCCTAAAAATTGTCAATGGCTCTCTAATGCCAAACTCTTCAGAGAACTTCTACTTTTCAGCTTCATCTTCAGCTTTATAAACTGTCTACATGAGCCAAGACTCTGAACAGGCCCTCATACTCACTTGTTACCTTTTCAATCCCATTCACTCCCTGTACACATCTTGTAAAATCTCACACTAATAACCCTCAAATGTCACTTCCTCTCCAACTTCCTGATCCCATAGCAAGAATTACTACCTTACTGTATTTTAAAGATTAGTATTTTAAACATAATTCTTGTAGACAATTTAGTACATTATACTTCAGTTGTTTACTTCCATTTCAGACTAAGAATTCTTTAGAGCAAAAATCAATTATTTATCTTTCATACCAAACTATTATAATTATGCTCAGTACTTATAGTACTAAGTACTTAATAGTACTTTAATAGTTGCTCCAAAAGGCCTAAGTCTAATTTCTAATGCTAGACTATCTAAGTTGCAAATGCAAGTTAAATATACCTCTCTACATTAAATTGGAACCCCAATCACCTTTTCCCCTAAGAAATGTGTTCTGAATAATAGAATATCTCTGAATCACTCCATGAACTTAATTTTGCATTTAATTTCTAAATGTTCATGGACCCCAATAATCAAATTCTACCTTCCCATCAAACATTCTGGCCGTAAATTGACTTTCCCTTCTCACAAAATAGGAGTTGGCACAGTAGAAAAAGTTCAGGCCGTGGGGACACAAAATTATCTTATACTGGCTCTTACACTCAGCTTAAGCTCTAAGGCTCAATTTCCCACTTTTTAAAATGTGAATACATACCTATTTTGCTGTTTGGTTTGATAAAAATTAATAAAGCACCTAGCACAATATAGGCATAAAAATCTTTTTAATATAACTTCAGTCATTCAACAGGTATGTAATCTCCCTGCCTCTATTTCATAAGAGTGACATAATACTGATAAATCAGTTGCCACTTGCAACAAAACAAGGAAGGCAAGATTCGTAATTCAAATATTCGCAGTATGGGGACTGTACTTAAAAGTAAAATCTAAGTTCTTTTAAAATGTTTTATATAATTCTTTTCAGTTTGTTCAAAAATTTTACCTTAAATATTCTAGGCTTGCAGTAGGGAGATTGTTGGCTATCCTCTTCACAAAGGTATATCAATAGGTCCATTGATAGGAACTTGCATGATTTGTAATTCACTTTTATTCTATATTAATGTACTCTTTGTAAGCATACCCACAGACTGTACCTGACACATAGCAATCAATGTTTCTTTTCGTTAATGGTCATAACTTTAGAATCTAAAATTATAAACTATTACCTCCCGGTCTCAACCCATTATCAATTGATATATCAACATAATAAAAAACAAGCTTCAGTTTTCTCCAGATATTTAATACAAGATGCAGTATAGTAGCTATATTCCATTCCATAAAATGCAATTACTAATAGGGGGGTTGTAGCCCTACTGAATCAAATAAAAGCATTGTGATACATAGATGTACTTCTGTTGTTTTAATGTAGAATTTGATAAATAAGGTTGTCTTTTGTGCTTTTTCTACTTTAAGTAATACACTTTACAGATGAGACATACAAATCAACTCTACTGGTTTGAGTTCTAAGTTATTTTTACTATAGACCCTTTTTTCCATTTAAGATGGGAAGACCCAGCCTTTGGTATAAATAACTTATTTCCATGACAGTATTTAAAGGATATCATTAGTGTTCAGTGTCAATTGTGTACTCTTTTGGTAAGGGGGAGGCTAGAGCCTCTTTGCTCTCAGTAAGTGCTCTGGGCTGATGGATAAACACACTAAATTTAACACCCTGGTTGTTGGCAGCTCTGACAAAACCACTATTGGCAGTCATTGTGATGGCTTTGAGGGTGTCTCCAGTCCCGAAAATTGTTAATGAGCGACTATTGATTTTTGAACTGGCCACTAGTCTCAAGGCACGCTCAGAAGGCTGGTCTGGTACCACATTAATTCGCTTAACTAGCATAGTGGCCCTCTCTCTCTCCCCAGGTCCTCCTAAAGTATCTAGAATTGACTGAAAATCCTTGACAGCCGATTCACAAGCAAATAGCTCCTTGTCCTTCATAAATGCCTCTAGCTGTGGTAGAACCTGTTCTTTCCTCTCCTGCTCTGCTTGTTCTGTGAGCACTTTTTCTTTAAAGATAAAGTGGCAACCTCCATAACTAAGGGCAGATACATACGTGATTAAAGTAGTAATGTCCAGATTTACTCTTTTGCACACATCAACCTTAATTTCTGTTGGAAACGCAACACTTGCTAGTATATTTTCTCGGTCTACTCTGGTCACCTGCAAAAGTTCAGGGCCCTCTTCATCTGATTCACTCTCACTAGGCTGGAGCTCTTCAGAGTGATCTAACAGAGAGTTAACTGCTACTATGTCTCCTTTCACAGATATGCCCATTTCTTTCAGCTTCTCTGCCATGGGGCTGGAGACACTGTTGTAAAATGCAAAGATGATGTGAGGGTTGTTATACTGCACTGGCTGCTGGTGACTGGCCTGAAGGAAGTCTTCAGCTTGCTCAATGATGCTTTTGTCACCATATTGGCCCCTGCCCAGCCAAATATTATGCAGAGCTTCAGCCTTTCGGCCAATGGCTTTCACCCAAGTATGACCACCATTTGCAACAACATCCACCACAAGGGTCTGCTTTTCTCCCAAGGTATCTGTATAACCAAAAACATGAAGAACACTAACGACTTCTTCGAGGTTTTCTGCTGATTCCACTATGGCTCTTAGGTGTGTTAGATTAGTGCTCTGTAAATGAGATTCCTTAATAGCTACTTTCCCAGCTTCTACTTTCTGTAAGAATTTTAATTCAGCCTTCAATTTGCTGCATAGCTTTGCGCCACCTTCAATGCCACCCTTTCTTGCTCTAGAAAGTGATTCTGCTCTTTTGATCAGTTCCTTGGCTATGGCGATTCGTTCACAGAGCATGGAGTGTGCAGACATGCTGACAGCATTCTTTCTTTCCTGTGAAAAGAAACAAAGCAAACTGAAACAGTCCTCAAGAATTATGGCAATCAATTCCTAAGGATTACAAAATTTCAATCTACCGAAAGAATTTATAGAGTCTGAGTCTAGGAACCTGAGCTTCTGCATGTCTAATTTCGGAGTGACGCCCTCCTCTGATAGCTAAGGAAAGGATGATAGCTACACTTCTGATCTCCTTAGGTGTGCTGGATTCTGACACACTTTAGACCTCCATTTTTTCAACTTGAAAGTCATGGGTTCACAGCATGACTCGGGTCAGAGTTAAATACACGACTTCGGCAATATGCTATGTAAGGAATTCTCTATTAGCAGCCTTATTCTTTGGCTGTAGAGAAATATTAATAAAAGCTCGGAAAGTCAAGATGAAATTATTAGAATAAAAATATCCACAGACTAGCTGGTTAGCAAATTGTCCATAGCAAGGCTTTCCACTAAACTGATCACATTAAAGCTTTCTAATCTTTTCCTCCTAAACTAGTGAGTCTCTTTTAACCAGTGATTACCCAGGGGCACACGGTACACCCGCCGAGGATTCAAGACTGTCTAGTTTCTGCATTTGACGTCAACCAGAACATTTTAAAGACCGAAGGAGCCTACTAAGTTGGCTCCCGCTCCCACACTGAAGGAAAAGCCCGAAGATCAACTAAACTCCACGGTGCAGTCCGTGGCAACTTGGAGGTCGATGGGACCTTCCGGGCCGGTGTTGGGCCCTCAGGCCCTGCGCGGTCCACCTGCACTGCTGAGGCCTGCCAGGGAGGCTTGAGCTCAAATAGCTCCGGGGCCAGGACGTGTAGGCGAGAGCCGGCAGAAAGAACACGGCCCGGCGCCAGCCAACCTCCCCGCTGGGCGGGCCCAGCCCCCTCCCGGCCTCAAAAGGGCGCCCAGCTCCCTCCTCCCTTCCCGTCCCTGGCTCCTCACCCGCAGCGACTAGGACCGCGAGCGCGAGCAGCGGGCACGTGCGCGCGCTAGGCTGGGACCCGCCGAGAAACCTCACGGAGCAGCCCCCACCCCACTCAGGCCGCTGCCGCTGCTCCGCCTGCGCGAGCCCCACCGCCTCCGGCGCCTCCCGCATCACGTGCTCCCTCACCCCCGCCCAATGACACGGAACCTGCGATTCCCATGTGGCAGCGCGGGCCCCCTCCTCCAGCGCCGCTGACGCTAGTGCGACGGCCATGTTTGTTGATGGCGCCCAGCTCCAGCTACGTGATGAGTCTGGAGGCCTGCAGCTGCCCAGTGCCAAGAAGGTGTAGGGGAGGAGCTCACAGGGCTGTACCGCACTCCCACTGGGACGCTCATAGCTCCATCTTCTGGGTCCCAGGCAGGCTTACTCAACACCCTAGCACCTAATCAGCAGTTGGACTTTGCCTGGGTGGGCGGCAGTGCATTTTGGTGGAGAAAATCTCCCGACTGAGCACGACTCCCTTACTCCAACCAGCTACACCTTTTTTGCTATCAAGCTCAAACACATACCAAGTGTCAGGCAGTGGTTTTCTTAGAAAAATTTGGGGCTCATTTTGATTCAGGCCAGGGCAAATTTCCCGGGGGCAGGGGAGAACCAAGCCCAGCACTGAGAGAGAAGACCATTTATTTGGCAGAGAGTGTAAACAATTTAAACGTGTCAAAGTTAGAATCGAAAGTTTATTAGAAAAGAGGTAACACTCCAAAAACAGAGCTGTTGTCTCTCAAAGGCACTGAGAGCCTGAGAGAGATGATACAGGCCATCACTTGCAAAATTCTTAATAAACTTAGTTAAGTCTTTTCTTGCCTCCTTTCTTTGGAGAAAGACCCTCTCCCTCAAACTTAATTACCTTCAAACTTGTGACTCAGGTCCTCTGGCTATAAGGATCATTGAAACTCAGCCTTTTCCTTGGCCTATTATAAGGCCAGAATGGCTTTAGTCCAAAACAGGGCCCTTAGAGTCCAAAAAGGACTCTTTTCTTTTACGAAATGTATTAACAAAGCCAGGTCCTCTGGCTATAAGGATCATTGAAACTCAGCCCACCTATCTGTCAACATCCATACTAATAAAAAAGGGGTTCATGGCTCTTAGAAAAGGGTTAGTCAGGAAAATTAGATAGGGGATCTCGATCTGCCTGCAAAGAAGCTGAGGTCATCCTATTCTAGAAAGGGTCCGCCCCAGTCTGCCCACAATTAAGCGAGCCAGAGGGTATTTTGGGGCTAAAAGTAACTCATATAAGGAAATAAGTAAGCAGATAATTGGGTACTAGTTTCAGCCAGTCACTCGCACCTCCACAATAAAGACCCCAGTGACTTTCAATTCACCTGAGCTTCATTATACCATCATTATAATATGATGCATATGCCCAGAAGTTCATTAATATAATCAACTGACTTCTGGGAACGAACAAGCTCAGAAAGCAAACGATGAGTCACTGAGTGCTGTCAATCTTAGTTGTCAATCAAGGAAGGCCACTACTCTAAGAAAAGTAACCACCCACAGCAAATAGGGATAAAAACTCCAAAGGCATTATTACCAGACCTTTGAGCCAGCCACTCTTCTCTTGCTCAGGTCTGCTTCCATGTGGGGAAGAGTACTGTCGCGTCTAATAAAGCTATTCTTATCTGGTGTACTTTGGTGTCCTGCTTACTTCTTTGTTCAAGACATCAAGAGCCTGGACAACACGTCGAGAGGGAACTCCACTCTCCGGTAACAGAGGGACAGAGAAAATAAAGATGATAGAGTAAAGGCACTGAGAGGGACTCTGGGGAATTCAGTTTATTATTCTTTAGTACCTGCGAGTTACAGTTTAACCATTTTCCTTTGATATAGATATACAATGAGGAAGGATAAGAGTATGTAGCATGAAAAAGTAAAAATGTGTAACGTAAAAGGCCTGTTGGCAGTTCCCAGACTTTAATCCATATGTTCCCCATGGTTTTAGCCACAGGGAATAAATGATTTTATCTTGTGTAGGGTGCCTCTTAAAGACTGTTTTTCCTGTTTTCCCTTCAGGGTGTGGGGAAATGGGTTGTCAGCAACGCCAGCAGAAATCTTCTTTTGTTCTGCAGGTTTCTTCGTGGCCAGGCTGCAGACCTGATCAGCACATTGCTGTCTCTGAATGTAGGTTGATTTAACATTTTAGTTCTCTTGCCTCTTTCCTACATTAAGTTTAGCAGAAGAGGAAACAGGCTGAAGGGGCTTGTCAGAGGTTACACATCTGCTAAGTGCTGGAGCTGGGATTTCTGACTCCGAACCAAAGCACTTTGCACTTCATCGTCCTGGGCTCTCCATGAAGTGTGATATTGTAGATATGAGTTGCCTTCCTCAAAAGGACAAATGACTGGGTGGCTTCTAAGGGGCTGGGAAATTTATGTTAGCCTAGTAGAGTGCCCAAAGTCACTCAGAAATGTTAAGGCTTTGATAAAAGCTAATTTTAAAAATTAATAGAACTTCAATTAAAATTAATCCTATATATGCCTGCTCCTTCCCCAAGCATTACTTAAAAAACAGTAAAAAATTAAAAAAAAATAAACCCCCCAAAACAAAAAGAACAAGAGATGACTGCACATACTTCTTTCGGAAGATGAAATGTTGCAGGATACTCGGACAGAGACAGGACACTGAAGCAATAATCAAGAAGTAGTGTTTATGGGTGGGTGCTGCACCGGCTCAGCGGATTCACTTCCAAAGGCTGACCCCAATCGCAGCGGGGTTTCCCCTTTTATACACATCTTATACTTCCTCATGTTCTTTCTATATAAGTAAAGTGTATTTTGATTGGTTGGTGGACCATAAGGGGAATGACCGACCAGGGCAGCTGGCATGTCAGCTGTGACACTGAAAAGTCCCTTACCTATTATGGGAAGGGAAGTGAACAACCTTCAACCTTTATAGGAAAGAGTTAGCTCAGCCTCCCTACCACAAAAGGGCAGTAGCAATTATTCAATGTTACTATATGGCAGGCATTGTTCTAAGTGCTTTTCTCATATAAAATGATTCAATCTTAATAACCTAAAAGGTAGATACATTTTACAGTTAAGTCCCCCGCAGAGAGGATATTTGTACCCAGGCAGCCTCTCTGCAGGATGAATCGTTAGCAGAGTGGAGAAATCTATATCAAGTGATTCACAAAGCAAAACCTTGGAAAGGCTTTGCAACTGCAGACAAGCCTGGAAGGCAGAAGGAAAGGGAGCAGTGAGGCAGGACTGAAAATGAGCATTGCTTAAGAGTTTGTATAAGGAACTAATACAGGGAGGCAGCAAGAGAACTAGTGTTAAATCAGGCTACATTCAGAGACTGCAATATGCTGATCAGCAGCCAGGTCAGAAGGACACCTGCAGAACAAAGAAAGATTTCTGCTGGGATTGCTGACAACCCATTTCCCACACCTGTGAAGGGGAAACAGAAAAATGTCTAAGTGGCTACTCTACACAAAACAAAATCATTCATTCTCTATGGCTAAAACCATGTGGAACCTATGGATTAAAGGCTGGGACCTGCCAGCAGGCCTTTTCACACTACATACTCTTATCCTTCTCACTGTATGTCCGTATCAAAGGAAATGAGCAGTCTTTAAACTAACTCAACATAAATTAAAGAATGAAATATAAACTGAATTCCAGGAACACTCAGGGTCCTGCTCACTCTTTTCTGTGTTGTCTCTTTTAGGCTCACTCACTCTGTGCCTGAGACCATGCTCTGTCTATGGAGTGTTACCCTTCTCTAATAATTTTTCTTTTTTGACTCTAATTTTTCCTTTTGGCATGTTTTAATTCTTTCTACACTCTCCATTAAGAATTCTTCTCTCTCAGTGCAGGGCTTGGTCTCTCCTGCACTTGGGGAAGTTTGCCATCCTGCATCAGAGCAAACAACCAAGTCCTCTCTCCCATCTAGTGCAACCGGGCTGCTACCCATTCTTCTCCAGGCAGAGAACTAGAGTTTGATGATGACAATGTGACACCCTAAGTCCTTGGTGATCCTCCAGGATGGAAATAGAGATCACCACGAGAAAAGTTCAAGAAGCAAAGGTTTATTAAGCTTGTGTAGAAGAGAACCAACACTGAGAAAGGTTAGGGTGGCTCCCCAAGAGAAGTTGAGGCAGGGTATTAAAGGGAGTAAGTGGGGTAAAAGCTGTCTAGGCATGTAGAGGTTTCTTGGTGCCTAAGCAGAGCGAGTACATGCTTCTTCAGAATGTGTGGCATGTCTCATGAGCATGGTAAATCTCCCCTGGGTGTAATTTAAATTAAATCACCTTAGGGACACTCTTGGGCCTTACTGTACATGGCAGTAATAGGGCGAGTCCCTTGTTACTGGTCTGTGGATTTTTGCGGTTTGCTCCATGACGCTGACTGATGGTACTTTAGGGCAGATATTCTTGTGAAATTTATCAGGATCCAGCAGCTGAACTTTCCAACAACAGCAGGAAGTTGTCCCCCTTTCTGAAGGGATAGGGAACCAGAGGGGTTCTAGACACATAAGAATGAAAGTTTTCCTATTGAATGGTGAAATGCTATGGGTCTCTTCTCTGCCCTTCTTCCCCTCCCAGAATGCTGGCACTCCTCTCGCACTCTCCTCACCACCTCTCCCTAAAATCCTAGTTTTCTCTGGAGAACTGAGAAAATCAAAGATCATAGAGAAATGCTTTATAGATACTGATATTCAGCATTCCTCCATAAGTAGATTTGGGGCTTACGCACAAAGAGCATTTCTAAACATTTTTGTTTAGAATTTGAAGTTAATAGAAAGCCGAACAAAATGATGTTTAAAAATATTCTTTAGCATCCTCGAATAAAAGATATTTTATCCATGAATCAAGAGGATTTTTTAAAGGGGAGGTGACAGAATATAGGAAAAAGTTCTTCAAAATTAAATGATATCCCAAATCTTAAAACATCAATACAAGAGTAGGAAGAGTAGGTAAAAATCTACTAGAAAGTAGAATAAAAAGACAAGTGAAAAATATGACAACAAAAGGATCCAACAAAATTCCAATTAATAGGAATTTTAGAAACAAAAACAAAAAGAGAAAATTTCTCAATACTAGAAAATTTACCAGAACTGAAAGATACATTTCTACAGTGAAAGGGCCTGCTGATTGCTCAGCACAATCAATGTTAAGAAACCCACACAAAAGCACATCACTGCAATTTCAGAACACTGTGGATAAAGGAAATGATCCTAAGAGCTGTAGAGGAGAAAAAAGGTATAACCAAGATCTGTCATGTCATCACACATATACGATAGCATTAGGCTTTTCTCATCAGTAACACTAGAATCTAGACAGGAGTAGAGTATGCCTTTCAAACTATGGAAGGTAATTATTTCTAACCTAGAATTTTAAAACCCAGCCAACCAATGGAGAGAGGAGAATATAGTTTCAAACGCACAACTAGCTTGGATTAGAGCAGAGGACAGAGTTCCAAGAGAGAAAGTTCTTGGAATGGTGTTGGAGGTGTGGGTTTGGAGCTGGGCTAGAATTGTTAGATTACCTGAAAACTGACCAAGAGAAAACCAGTGCGTAGGGGATGGTTTTACAATCCCGTTGGTGAAAACTGGCAAGAATTAGCGACAGCTACACAGCAAACAAAGCAAACAAAAAAGTGAGGCAGTTATCACCTCCATGAAAATTATTTAGGAAATGTTACAGTATACTTACATAGCCATAATAAAAACCTCTTAAACATTGTGTTTTATTTGAAACAGAAAAGGGAAGGAAGGGTGGTATAAGAGTTTTAAATTCTCATCTTGCAGAATAGAAAATTTATATAGTGGCTAAACTTAAGGACTGAGATTCAGCTATTTTGGTCCATGAATGGAAATTGAGCAAAAGATGAAAACTCTTTTGATCAATCCTTATCAACTAATTGGTGGCCAAACAGCACCCGATAATTGTAAAGATCATTATTATTCTTCTTCCTTATTCCCCTTTTCCTTGTGAATTTTAAACATTTCCATGTGTCATTGCTAATAACTGTTTTACAAACTTAAATTCATAACTCAGTAAGGAACTGGAAAAGAGAATTAGTGAAGGCAATATTTATAAAATATAAACCAAAAATAGAGAGGGGCTATGAACATTAAGAGCATTATGATATTTAAGTGATTAAAAGCTAGAATCCACATGCTAGAAATGACCAGAGTTTTGGAACATTTAGAGATGCATGAAATGGGTTGCAAGACCAAAGAACTGGGACACAAAGAAAGGGCTTATTTTTAAGGTCAATGAAAAGAATAAACGAGAATATGGAAGAAGTGGTCCAGGAAGCTTCAGTTGAACTGAGCTTTGCATTTAATGGGGCAAGAGGCAGAGATTTGACTTTCAAAACAATTCTGCTTCAGATCATTTTCCTCCCTTTATTCTATAAGTATCTAATAAGAAACTCCATGTGCTTTCTTTTTGTCCTAACTATAAATGCCTTTACTTTTACCCTTCTTGATTTGTAGAATTTTAGTATTCCTCTGGTTTTTTAATATTGGATATCAGAGAGCGAATTCAAAGGTAGCTAAAACTTAAGAGTACTTAACTATTAATCTTGCCAGGTCTTTCACTTGCATTATCAAGTTTAGTCCTTAGAAAACCCTGAGATAATCACCTTGTGCAGTCACTTAGTCAGTAAGTAGGAGAGATGAGACCTGACTCCAAAAACCATTCCTTTTTAACCCTACTTCTCTTTTTAGTGTGCTGGATTCATGATATACCCAGAGCCCATAAAGAGAGATTATTAGACGAGGCTTTTAAAACAAACTTCTTGAAATAAAAAGTTAGCATCTCCCCTAATAATGCTTTTATCACCTATAATGAGATAGGGGTATTCTAGTGATGGTGGGTAAAACTGAGAATCCTGAAAAAAAAAAAAAAAGCTCTAAGATAAGGCTCTTTTCCTCTAAACGTGGTTAAATTTTAATCAAAATCTTTTGAGCTACATTTAAATCACAGAAATGCCTATTATCTCTTTGTTAATAAGAATGATATTCATAAACTCTCCTTATGTTCTGTGAGCCAGACCAATGACAATTTCTCTTATCCTAGGATGCCTTAAAAAAAAAAAAAAACACTACATGATGACTTCACATATAATGAAAACAGTTCAGATACAAACAATTTGCCTGCTTGAAAGAGGCTTAATTTGTAGTGACAGTTCTGATTACTCTGAGATTACATGAGGGAGTCTTAAATCATAATTTTGACACTTAAGTATTAGTATTTTATTCCAGCACTCATGTTCACCCTTGAGTCAAAAGGTCTAATAGAATCTAGGAAGCTCTTTTTAAATACAGTTACCTACTTGTAATGGAGAAATCAAGAGGAATGAGCATAACATTTATTATTTACTTATATACCTCTTATAAGACTATTTGGCTTAGTACTCTTCAAAGATCCAGTGCTATCTCAAAGAACTTCCTAGGGTTTCACTAATCTACACCTAATAGTGCCTAAAAAATATCTATGCTTCCTATCTCTTGAATCTATGAAAGTCTGCAAATTCTCTCAGCTCTAAAAGCAGTGTTTTTTATCAAAATCAGCATTTTGCTTTACTGAAGCATAGACAACCTCTGGTAGTAAAGATGGTAAAAAAATTGTCTTAACCAAAATTGCATAAAGACTAACGAGTGATTTCACCATTCTGTTTTGTAATGCAGTTTTGAGAAATCAACTGTGATAAAAAGCAGAAAACATTTTAAAATTTTACTAACTCCTAAAAAGCTGGAAGCTGAATTTAACAGTTTATTATGATTTATAAGTGTCATTTTAAAAACATCAGTCCATTAAACCACATAGAAATAAGTATGCAAAAAGTCTGCAAAACATACTTTAAACATGTTTAAGTATAGAGATTATATGAAATTCCAAATTTTCCAGTCACTTCATTATGCTATGGCAGCTAAGTAATCCTTAACTTCAGTTGGAGTAAGCCTCCTAAATCCAGCTTCATTGCAGATTCCAACTTCTATGTTATCTTCTGTCATTTGCCCTTCAAAACTTTCCTATTGAAGAGGGAGGGATAAAGGTCAATTTTTCAAGCAGTTAATTACAAAATCATTAAAAATCCAATTGTCAGATATTGAACTAACCTTTAAAGTTAATATGGCTGTATGAATGGCATCTTCAAGTTCTAGATCTTCGTTATACCTAAGAATTTTTTGGAAAACTGATTATGGCACTATTGCATTTATGATCATTTAAACGCGATAACAGCTTGACTTTTAAAAAATTTAACACACCGAAATGTTAAAAGTACTGTTACAGATTTTTTAGTCACCCCATAGAGATAGCTGTCCAGATAGGAAATTGACAATTATTTAGCGTGCATTCCCAACATCAGGAAAAGTATAACCCTAATGAGTTTTAGAAAACTTAAGTATAGTTTAATACAATCAGAGGGTGGTGGCAATGTCAGTAATTTTTAAAATAAAGTGACAAAAACAGACCTTTGCTAAAATTCCTTGTTTGTTTTTGTAACTTATAACTCCATATGGAATGTTTTGAAGACTCTCTAATAACATGTAAGGAAAAAAGGAAAAGTACATTGCTTTAAGATACTAAAATTAAATTTACCAATTAATCCTAGGTCTAAGATTTTTAATAATCTGAACATTCATATTATGTGGAAATGTACTGAGAAGTTCCATCTGTTGGCTAAAGTCAATTACAAACTATTCCCATTCAAAATGTAGGTGTTTTGGTGGACTATAATAATGTTGAGTATAGAACAAAGCTGGAAATAAATAAAAGTTTGTTGTGCTAGTAGTGATAGATTTGTACACAGTGCTCCACATTTTATCAAGTACATATGTTATATATTTAATATACCATTAATATCAAGTATATGGCTTCACAATTTCTTTTTTAATGTAAAATGTCACCACTTAAATCATTTAAAAATTTTCCTCTCTAATGTTTTCTCCAAATCCAATTAGCTTTTTTTTTTGATAAGAAAAATGAAATAAAAAATAAAAACAACATTTAGGAAACAACCGTAAGAATGTAGAAAGAGAAGTTCTCAAGAATATTATCACTTAATATATCGAAGGCTAGGGAACCAGCATGGAGTTTTTGTTTTATCTGTAACTAGACTCGATTTAACAGCATAATACAAATTTGTCTGGATTCGTTATATTATTTAAAAAGCTGAAAACCATAAAGTAAGTTTGCTAACAAATTTATGGTGAGCCTACCTTTTCTCAAGGAAAGTTTTCCCATTCACATAGTTCTTTCCCATTGCTGTGGCTTTCCAGGCAAAGTAAGCTCCCTAATCAGGAAGGAAAGAGGAAAAATCGTATTTTAAATCATTACTATAATTAATTATATCACCCTGCCATTTTTTAGCTCTATAATTTGTTTCTAATTTCTAAGGTCACAAAACAGATTAAAAAAAAAAAAAGGTTAAAGGGATAATTAACAAAAAGGAACAAAGAAACTTTTGAAAGGTATGGAGAAGTTCAGTATCTTGATTGCAGTGATGCTTTCCTAGGGTATTTACACACACTAAAACTCATCAAGCTGTATACTTTAAATATACGCAATTAACTGTACACGATTTATTAAAAAAGCCAGTTAAAGAAAACTGAGGTTAACTTAAAGTAAATAATTAAGACTAATATTTTAGCTTACAAGGATTAAAGGGCTCTAAAAAAATGTCATAAATATTTGAGAAATGGTGCTCACTCATCATGATTGGTGAATAAATTAAAAAGTGATAGCTTTGTATTAACAATATTACAAGGTTTTGATATTCTGCAACTTAATGGCAAATGAAAGCAACAGCAATGTCATGATTTTATGTGCTGAAAAAATATACTCGTATGCATGCACATACACACAAAAGTACCAACACGTATTTTAAAAGAAACAACTGCCTTTTATTTTTTTGTTTTGATTTTTTTAACAACTTTTAGATACAAAAGAAAAAAAGGCAAAGGTGAAATATGAATTCTAGTGATGGTGGCTTCTGCTGCTTGCTGGAAAAGAAGGTAAGAGCGTTTGTCACCTAGCTTCAGAAACTCAGAGAGGTGGTAAATTTCCCCAAATACTTAATTTTTCTGATTTAAGTAACAAAACAACCAAAATATTTTTCTTTTGTCTTTTCAGATTACCCGGTTAGATCATAAGATTTTAACTGAGTGAAACTGCAATTACCTAAGGATCCTTAAAATATGAAAAATCAGTTCCTAATCTTGATTTTCTTCTTCTGGTTGCACAGAAATGTGTGCAACAGAGTGGCGTAATGGCATCCTTTATGAACACTTTCTAACTCGGAGAACATTCTTTTGCTTTATAGCAGACAACTCACCCATTTTGCAAAACACTGAATTCAAGACAGTTACATCAATGTTTGCCCAGGATCGGTCACACTCAAGTCAGCCCCGAGATTAAACAGATGACAAGGAGTATAACACTGCCCTCTAAATCTATATCTTTCACTAAAATATTTCTCAAAGTAACAGAATTCAAGATTGAAAGAGATTTGATAACTATTTCAATGAACCATTCAATTATGTTAATGAATGAGAGAGGGCAGAACTACTATAGCTTCATTAGATGACTGAATAACCAACACTTAAAATGTTCAAATACACTACTTCATACTTTCTAAAGTCCAAGTGAAAAAAAAAACAATACTGCTAAATTTTAAACTTTTTATGGTTACTGTTTTTATGAGAGCACTTTAACAAATCCCTCAAATACATCTAATAATACTTACAGATGGATCTGATTGAAATAAATATGGTCGTCCTTCATTCCAACCACAAATTAGTAAAGAAACTCCAAATGGACGAACACCACTGAAGAAAGGAAAATGAAAATTACTGGCATCTTAATGGTGTTAAAGTCAATCTAAGTAAGAATTTATTAATACTCTCAAGTAAAGCAAATTATCAGGCAAACCAAATTAGACTTTTAAGTTCTTTAAAAAATATTTAACACCTTTCTGAACAAATTAATTCAAAATAAATTCTCTTTGTGGTATCAAGAACAGTAGTCAAACCATTTTGGTAAATGAAGTAACACAAATATTGAGGTTACTAAGTGCAGTAACATTTAGTACCCTAACAAAATGACAACTTTCAGCTTTTCCACTTGCTTTCCATATCGGCAACTACCTTTACATTACCTCACCCATGTTCACACCCAAAATGAAGAGAATTAAAATGAACATGGATGTGTGAAAGAACTACTGCTTTCACCATGTGCTTACGAACATTTACGATTGAGAATGTAAATTTGGAAGCAGCAAGGGCTGTTTGCCTATAAAAGTGTTTTAATCACCAGAAAAACAACTTTATTTATTACTATTTGCTTTATTATATGAACAGCAAGAAAACATTCGAAATTTTTTCCTTAACTAGTCTAGCACTAGTTAAGATGAAAATTATTCATCTTAATGATTTTCTCCACTTCTTAAGTAAATACAAGGATAGTAAGTCCTTTTTTTTTTATACACCTACTCTTCCAAAATGAATTTTTTCTAATTCATGACACATTGGAAGCAATGAAATCAACTTACCCTGACTGGGTGTATTCTTGCATCACAGAAGCTACTCTCTGTACCAGCTGAGCTGTGGGAATGGGTTCTTGGTAAACAAGATAGTACTGCTGAGCTAGTTTTCGAGCTCTGTGCACAAGCACTCTGGCAAACAAGGAAGAGATAAGATTTAATTAAAATTGAGACACTCTACTACCTAAAGTCCCATTCTCCTTCTAAAGGCATATACCTACAGCATAAGTTTTACTCTTTAATAGCAGCTGTCAACTTAAAGCCAGTCTTGCTCTTACATTATTCCAGTTAATTTCCAAGAAAATATCGGAGCATCACAGAGGAGCCAAGCCATTAGAGATGGATAAAGAAAAGGCAAAAATGAAAAAAAAATTAGGGATTAGAGTTACTAGCTGGCTTAGTAGTAACAGATTTAGTGTACATAGTGAGAGCTTTATCTCTTATGGCTTCCAGGTTGTACTCCTTATCCAAAGATAGAGCAGTCACACTGATGCTTTATATCTTAGTCCAGCACGCACACACCTGCACACATGAATACACGCACAATTTCAGGCATTTTTTTCTCACTCTGCCTCAATCTTTTCCAGACGACACTTTTAAGAGTACCCTTCAGAGATTAAGAAACAGCAAAAAACTACTTATTTAAAAAGTGTAAAATTTATTAAAAGAATATACTATATAACAAACAAACATATTAGCAAGACAAATAGGATGTAACTTCATCTGCTCATGTATTACTGATATGAACCATGCACATTATCCCCCTACATAATACTCAGGTCCTGTCCCTCTCAGCTTGTCAGTGGTAGCACACTGTAGCACCCCTTCTATCCGGCAGTAACAGGGGTGAAGCCTGTAGTGAAGCCTGATCGCATTTCAGTAACGTCGTTTTTTAACTTATTAAAGTGAAATTATGGCTCTACCTATCTTGTTCCATACAAAATCAAGAATAAAGTAATAATACTCCTTTTACTTGTTAAATGACAAAGAAAGATGTCAATCTCTTTCAGCTTACTGGTACCCCGACATAAAAGGTTACTCTCTCTCTCTCCCTGTGAAATTTAAAAGGAATGAAAAGATGAGCATCTGGATCCTGAATGGCTGCCACATTCAGCAACTTTCAGTGGCCTTTGAGAATTCTGTCCCTTTACTAAAAACAGAATGAGGTTAACTCTGGACGGTGAAGTTTTCTTTTGCTAAGTGAAGACTTATGAAAAATATAGTTTATTGTACCTATTATAACATATTTCTTTTATATTTTTAAAATGCATTAGAGAATAGCAAAGCCCTTGAAGGCCAGCCCCTGGATGGCAGAAGAGGGATTGTGGTCAGAAGGATAAAACTACTAAACAGGAGTACTATATATCTATCTCCTCTTTTATAACTAACTGGCATTCTATAGCTTCCTTAAAATAACCCTCAGTCTGTTGTGTACAGGGCAAAGTAAATTCTGCTACCAGCGATGCTGTTGTTGCTAGACAAAACAAAACAAAAAGGAAGGTGGGAGATTAAAAGAAAAACATTTCTTGATTTTCTTCCTCAAATATAGATTATGAGCAATTCATAAGATGGTGAGAAAAATAATAGTATAATATACCTGTAATCTGGGCCCATGCCACTATACACCAAGCCTATATGTTTGGTAATTGGTTCCACTTTGTGTACACTTCGCTCATCATAGAGAATGGATTTCTGTTTCTTCTCAGTTGCTAATACCACACCATTCGCAGCTTAAAAAAAAAAAAGAGAGAGACCTAAATGCTTAATCATTTAAAGACTGCTTCAACAGTTTTCTAATTATGGCTATATTTCCCCCATTTCTTCTTACATATAAAACTTTTTCTTCTGGATCTCTATGTTAAAATCACTTAAGGAACAGTAAATCAATTCTTCCCCTCACTGGTCATCCATATGTACTAAAAAAATCTCTATAGCTAAAGGTATTACACAACTTTTCTTACTGTACTCCAGGATACCTAAAAGTCCATATATTTTAAAATAATGTAATTCTGCCTATTTAGCCTACAGTTCTTATAAAAGGAAATTTAAAATCAATGATAGAGATCTTTTTCAAAAAGGTCTCTATCTTTAAATAAAGTTTTATAATTACCTTTTTCTAAATTATAGAAAAGATAAAAACCGCCAGATAATAGTGATATATAATCGATGAAAAAAATAAAAGAAAACTCAGTTATCTGAATGCAAAAGTCTAATTACAGATTATCACAACTAATAAAGGTACTATATTTATTTTGAAAAAAATTTATTCACCTTCTTAGTCTTTTACTTTCTTTAAACCTCAGAACACTGTAAATTAACATGAACTGTTAAAAATTACACTGCCATAGCTATTCATTTATAAATTAATTACTAATTACCACTATTAACAGGCACTGCAAATGAATGAAACATTTAAATACCTTTAATTCCCACTGAAGGGGCTCCTCCAGCAACAGCAGCCAAAGCATATTCAATCTGGACAAGTTTACCAGAGGGGCTTAAAAAGAAATGAATATATTTGCTAAATTCACACATTCTCAAATATTTCTTATAGGCACATCTCTGAGAAAGGGCAGCTACATAGGTCAAATCCATTAATCAAAAACCAAGAAAGAGCTTGACCTTGAAAGTTATTGTGAAGTTGTACAGAAACTAAGTTTACCAGGAGATTTGAATATATTCATAGTGAAGCACTAATCTCTTTCCTTTGGTTGTTTTTTTTTTCTTGTCTGCCACTTAAAGCAGTATCATTACTGTTGCTCTTCACCCCTTACCTCAACCTTGTGACTGTGGGCAAGTTATTTAACCTGTTTCTCAGTTTTCTCATCTGTGAAATGGGGATAATAGTACTGTGGTAGTTAACCTATTTCAAAGATTATGAAAATTTTGTTCTCGGCACAAAATTAGCAGTAAGTAAACACCATAAAAATACTGTTATTAAGAATATGTATGTGTCTGTTAAAATCAAAATATTATTTAAAGTGGGTGGAGTTATACATTTTAGAAAGTAGACATCGCTTAAAACATAAGACCTAGATATCAGTCACGACCAAGTATTTTCTATATAGTATAAAACAATTTCTAGAAGTCATGAGCCGGTTATACTAAACGCATCTGGTTCCATGGGTTTGGTAGCCAAATAAGAGCTGTCAAATGGTTTTTTAGGTCATACTTATTTCGATCTAGTTGTTGAGTTAGAATCATCATAAATCTCACAGACCAACCTTCTTATTTTATAGATAAAACCCTTGAGTGAAAGTAATTTGTCTAAAGTGACAAAGCTAGGTCTATATGTCTAGTCTACCACTGAAAAGATAATCTTGAGTTTCAAAAGTTCATCTGTTTTATCTTCATAAAATTATGGATACTCTGTCACTCAAATCTCTATTTACGCCATCCCGCCTTGCTTAAGACAGAGACTACTCTTAGAATTTAAAAACCCTTTTGACAAGCTAATCCCTCCATTGGGAATGCATTTCACCAGGTGAACTGTTTTTAGTCACCCTTTAATCCTTAGCAGAAATGCCATGTCCTGAGGGAAGCTGCTCTGACCACCCAGACTAGGCTGAATCCCATATACTTATGTCTATGGTGTCCTGTACTTCCTCTGTGACTAAGATTTATCCTACTTGAATTATTTTTTACAATATTCGTCTTCCCCAACAAAGTGTAAGTTCTGTTCGGTCAGTATTTCAACACAAAACCTAATGCCAGGAATTCATAATCATCTGGCTGCCAGAGACATATCCAGACCTATTTAAGAAATAAGCCTAGGGGCGATAGTTTAAACTCCTACATGACAAAATTAGCTGGCTTGAGCAGAGTTAACAGAAGACATTTAAATTAAAAAATTAGGCTGTGCTTGTTTTCCTTTAATGGTCACTATTTCATTAATCTTATCATGACATTCTTGGTCTATCCAGCTTTCAATTATTATTCAATACCTAGGTCATTTATCTATAGGGAACATGTTAAAAGTGCAGGTTAACTTAAGTAAACATCAAGTTACTTTTTCTCTGTTCCTACAATCATCTGTATAGACATTTATCATTGCATCTTTCTGTATAAAACTCACTAATCTGTGAGCTCACTAAACAATCATCTTTGCGTATCATGCCACTAACCCATTCCAAAATACCAGCATCTCTACCTGGGATAATTGAAATAGCCTTCTAACTAGTTTTCCTCTCTTCTACCCTTAATTCCACATCCTTAGCCAGTGTTACCTTTGTACTAGATCACTCCCCACTTAAATTCTATAACTTCTTGGTTCACTTATAATAAAAACTCCTTACTCTGGCCTAGTGGACCCCACAAAATTAGACCTGACCAATGCTTGCTCTTTGCTCACTATACTCTAGCATACTAGTATTATATTAATTCCTTTAAGAGTTGAAGCTCTTTCCCAACTTTAGGACTTTCATACCTGTTCTCCCCTCTGTCTACAACTCTCTCTACCCCTAAAATCTTCAAAATAGTTGGCTCCTTTTCATCTTCCAATCTCAAAAATCACCAAGCACTGGCCTTTCTTGACTCTGACTACCCAATCTAAAGTTATGTTCCTTCTTTCACTCTCTTTTTATAAAAATGCCTGAGTAAGGGTAAAACATTTTTCAGAATGCAACTGTAGGCACCAATTTGTTTACTCACTCACTGTCAATATCCCCATATGAATGTAATATATAAGAACACCTTTTTGTCCTATAGTACAGGCTCTTGTTACTTCTACCATTAATAATTCTAATTACAACAGGCTAGAAACAAATGTTTTTTTTTTTTTAAATCTACGCAAGAGTTGAACCATCATGTTAAAAAAATAAGTTTATTTAAAAAAATTTATTATAAAAAGATTCAGACTCTGATACATGGTTTTGTGTTTCAGCTCCACTAGGATTACACTTTTCTTAAAGATAAAAGACCGGGTTTGCTTTGCTCACAGGTAAGAACGGTGACTTCTTGGCAAATATTGTTTGTTCTCTATCACTGTACATGATGAAACCCTTTATTACTGAATTAAATTAATTTCAAAGGTTACAAAAATACACATCCTCGTTTAATTCAAATAAAAACACCTTACTTTCAAATTGAACATTGTCAAGAGCAAGGAAGGTTATTTTAGTATTTCAAGAAAATATGATATGGTAATAAAAGGTATTCATTTTGTCATCAGAAAGAACCCAGTTTGAATGTTAACTCAGCTATTCTTTGACCTTGGAAAGTATTTTATTTGCCTAAGCTGTGATTAGTTTATCTGTAAGATGCTGAGATACACCAGGTAGTGGAAAGAGATGAAGGAGGTTAAGTTGCACCCACATAGAAGTACTCAACAAGTTAGACCCTGCCTGCCTTCAACCGAAAGATAGGAATGCATTTTAACTAAACGGGGCCGTAAGAAAATGGTCAAACTGAATCCTTCCCCGCTCGATTAAATCTTTCGGTGATTGTTTTCTTACACTGATATGATGGTTCGTTTTAACGGCATTTTGAAAAATAAACTATTTTAATTCCTCGTTCTAAAATAGAAAAGTCTACAACTCTTTTTAAAGTAAAAATATCCCTTTACCCCCCAAATGGCCCCAATATACAAATGTAGCCTAGTAGTTTGGAGCTGACGAACACTAGGTGATAGAAAGCTTAACGCTTTCATTTTTAAGTCTTAAGCTTCTAATAAAGGCATCAATGAAACCGAAAGCAGGAGATTTTCAAATGGAGACTAAGAATCTGACCAAATTGTAAAGTTGAGGCTTTCCCAGAAAAAGGGATCCACATATCTGACCAAGATTCCGAGCTCCGAAAGCTCCCGAGTTAGGCCTACAAGGGTCAGGAAGGAAATCCTGAGTTCTGAACAGGACATGGACACAATTAGTGTAAAGCTGCCTTTTCCTCTTGTCTCTAAAGCGAAAGCAAATCCCTAGCTGAGGACTGTACCCTTCCCAGACTACAAGGCCGCCCGGGATCCCGCAAACTACGTTCTCACGGCCTCCCGGGACCGTTGCTACCCAAGCCGCGAGGCGGGCCCAGAAAATGACTTTGCAAAGTCGCAGTTCCACTCTCATTCCCAACTGGGCCCTCTAAGAGCACGAATACACAGACCAGGACGTAAAAAAACAAACAAAACAAAAAACAAAAAAAAACGGTTGGTGAATCTCCTGCAACCTCAGCTACGCGAAGGACTTCGGGGACTCCTTCCATACCTGAATGTAGTCAGCGAAAAGCTGTAGCCCCGCTCCGCCATCTTTACCCGGAGAGTCAAAGGACATCCACACTCCTGCGCACTGCGGCCGGCTTCTTTTCATTTTCCTCCCCGCGCCTTCCTTTCTTTCTCTGTGATTGGAGGAGACTCAGAGCCGCTCCAGGGGCGTGCTGGGCTTTGTAGTTCCAGGAGCCGGGTTTGCCCGATTCTGCGTCTGTGCGCATGCTCGAGGTAGGGGCGGGATCCAGCAGCCGAGCAGGAGCAGTCTTAGGGTGAAGAATATGGCGGCGGTCAAGCTGGTGGTGGGGGTGGTTCAGCTGTGGCCGACAGTCCAGAGGCTCCTCCGGAACGGTTGGGAGCTACTGCAGCAGAAACTTCAGCAGAGTGGGCCAGGCTCCTTCAGTCTTCCGTGGGGTACGTAAAGAAGGCCTCCGTGGGCGAGGGGGTGGATGAGGGAACCCCAGACAGCGTGGTGGACAGTCCTTTCTCGTTCCAGTGCGCGATAGGGGACGTTGTCAGGAGTATATACTTAGAAACAAGAGACAGCTGATCTTTCTGCCCTTCTCCGCAAAAAAAAAAAAAAAAAAAAAAAAC